TTTCCATCCACTTTTTAAGGAACCAAGACAAGTATAGATGCTCATAAACACCTCTTTTCCTGGAATTGTGTTCTTGGATGTCCTAATAGATACAGTAGTTCCAAGATTTGTGGCCTTTAATTGCTCAGCATAATCATACAACCTAGCAAACTCCTCTCTGAAATCTCCCATATGTTCATTCATAACTCTCAGTTTTGCCTTTCTACAACTTGTCTTACTAACATACAAACCATATTGCTTTTGTATCAAAAACTGAATCTGATGTAGTTTGATGGTAGGCTCACTCATAATCCTCTCCTTGTAATGTTTACTAATCCAAATGGGGGTACAAAGTTTGTTTCTTGTTCTTTTAAAACACTCATGGACAGGAAAATATGTTTTAACACTGAAATTTCCAGTGTTACCATCAATACAATAATATGCCAAGGACAACCTTTTCTATTACACTTTGCCCTTATCCTTTCCTTCTCATTAGGTTTCAACTTAATATTAACACCCTTCTGAATAGAGTAAGTTTGCAGTGCCTCCCTGAACTCAATGTGATTCAAAAATACCATATACAATTGAAATAAAACCTTTTTAGCAGTTGGATCAAAGTAGATCTTTGTACTTTCCTTCCTAGGTGCTGGATCTACCACTTCATCATTCTCAACAGGATCCCCTTCATCTTCACTAATGTCACTACCAGGATCTGAGCTATCAAAATAAGGGTCATCACCACCCAAATTGCCTTCAAATCTCCCCCTCTTCTCCTTATAAATGTCTTCAAAACCAGCATCTATACCTACAGGACCAGATGGTATCTCATCTAGATTTACTCTAGCAGTCTTTTCTTTAACTTGTTCTTGAATATTAGACTGCCTAGCTTGAAGCAACTCCTCATCCAAATCACTCAAATCATCAATATTTTCATCAATATCATAGAGTGAATCAGAATCAGAATGTTCTTCAACTCTAGGGGCAGGGGCTTGTTCTTCAACTAAAGGGGACTGCTCTTCAACTAAAGGGGGCTGATTTTGGTTTAAATCCCTATTTTCATTTTCATCAAATGGTTGAGATGAAGACACATCAGCCCTATCTATTTGTGGGGAGGATGACAGATCAGCCCTATTTTTGTGTGGGGAGGAGGACACATCAGCATTATTTTGTTGTGGAGATGAGGACACATCAGCATTAGTGCTAGGCAATACAAGTATCTCCTCTACAACTAAAGGTATACTAATGGGATGTACAACATATACATCAACAAAATCAGCACCCTTCAAACCATTCAGAAAGTTTAAAACATCAGAATCAGTATTTAACATGTAAAAAACACCCTTCTTGTTGACTCTACATCCAAATGTCTCAACATTTTCAACACCCAATTCCATTGCTATTTTATGAAATAACATAATATGCAACTCATCTACATCTATATTAATCTTTTCAACACTACTGATTCCATTGACATACCTTAAAGTAGGATTAGATACAAAACAGCCCCCATAGTGAAATTGAAGTGTCACTATAGTTAAAGCCATTACCTTACGATGCCTGTAAAGTCAAAAATAATAACTACAGTTAAACCATAAACTTACCATGACTGTAACACAAAAATCCCTAATTTTTTTTAAGGAAATAATGAATTGTTGTAACAGTTAAAGCCATTAACTTACCATGACTGTAATTGATGTAATAATGCTCAACTAACACTATCAATACCCAAGACAATTGACCAGAAATAAAATATTAATTTTAGTTGAAATTGGGATTTTACGAATAAACCCTAGAATCTACTCGAATTCACGAAATATGCCATTGAAGTCACTCAAAGTCATACATCAACTAAGAAAGCATATTACACTAATATTACATCTAAACCAAAGTAAAATCCCCAAAAAATTTCAGAAAATCGAATGACAATCGACCCTAAAATCAAACAGATACGCGCGAGAAAATGAAAAAGATCAGAACTAACGCAAAAGGCAAGAACTTACAACGAAAATCGGAGTGGAACTGAGCTTCAACTGAGCGAAGGTTTGGAGGAAAATCACAGACGAACGTCGCGGAGAGGAGAAGAGAAGAGGAGAAGAGGAGAAGTGTAAAAGTCGCGAAGGTTTGAAAAATTTCGCCGGAGTTAGGACTATTCTTAGTTTAAGGTGAGTCATTTTGCCACGTGGAATATAATATCATACGTGGATTATTATTTTTTTCTTTTTGGCCAACGTGTACGTGTTTGTGCAACACGCTCCATACCACATCAAAAAAAGTGTTTAAAATGTTGGGTTTGGATGGGTTCAGGGGTCCAGATGACAAAAGGGTAAGTAGAAGGGTTCACAATACAAACAGATACAAGTACAAGGGTCCACCAGACCATTCTGCCTTTGTACAAATGATACTTCAAGCATATAATAACATGCAATAAATTAAACTAGAAGTAACTACCGTGGACAGAATAATATGGATGTGTACATAATTGTATAAAATATACAATAAAGGTCAAAGAGCCAATAGAGAAGAAGGATATATAAAGAACCCAACTCCAAACCTAGTGTCCCTAGTAGAAAAGCGTCTAAGTACAAAAAAGGATTATATACAATAGGTATGTCTATCAAATTATAAAATATTTAGATAGTGCAAGAGAGATATAAACAAGTCTCCAGACATCAATAGTTCACCATGATCCAACAACAATGACCACAAGAAATCTGGAATCAACAAGGGTGGCTCGTACTGGGTGTTGCATCAGAAAAAGATGTAGAAGTGCAGTATGAGTACCAAAAAATGGGTACTCAATAGGCATCATAGACCAATCGAGCTAAAAAGAGACTATAAATAAGAGAGGCACGGTAGTGCTAACACTAAAAATGAGAGCGAACTAGAGACATTCTCATAAACACTCATAGTAAAGATGATGATGATAATAATAATAATGATAATAATAATAATGAATAATTCATGCTAATACAACTTTATCGCAGACAAACATACAAAGCAAGATGATGCAATGCACATGTGGTCAATGCATAAAAGTAAAAAGTTTTGGAATCATCTTGTTGGCCGCCCCATGGGCTTCTTGGGACATTTCATAGACCCGCTACCACTCAACTACAAATGATTTTTGGAATTTAGCTCATGACTATTCTTCTTCTTTTTCCACTACTAAAAAAAATAGTGAATACCGACCTAAAAATTATTGATTTCCAATGACAGTCGGTATAACAAATAAAAAACTTATGAGAACTGACTTCAAGAGGTTGGTATTTATGCAAAAAAATGCGGGAAAACAATATACCGACCTCCATAGGTTGACAATTTTCCAGGAAAAAAATGAATAAAAGAAAAAAATGATCTCTTATAGTCGGTATTGAATTTAATAATAAATAATAATATTTCAATTTATCACAATTAAATATAAAAAAAAATTAAACCTCCTTCCGGAGGACAGTTTGTTGTGATACAAAAAATAAATAAAATTATAATACCGACCTTTTGAAGTCGGCAAAATTAAAATTTATATAATTAAGCTTCATTAAAATGTGTATATAATGACTACAAGAAGTCAATATTCGTACTTTTATTTAATTAGTTTCAACCTTATGTAAAATAAAAAATAAATTTATTTATGATACCGACCTCCGGATGTCGGTATTATTTAATTTTTCATTAAATTTATATGCAATACTGATCTCCGTAGGTCAGTATGTTTTGTTTATATCTAATCTAATTATTATTTATAATAAAAGCGACATTCAGAGGTCATTTTTTGAAAAACAAATACTTTTATAATCATTATTTTCCTATTATGTATAAACCTAATATTTTCATCGTACGTTAATTCTTCGAAAGTTTAACAATTGTATATTTGTATTAAAAAAATAAAAATTCATGTAGTAATAAAGAATCACTGATAATTTATATTAGGATTATGGAATAACGTTGATATTAATTGAGAGGTAATACCAACTTCAAAAATTCGATGTGATACTCGTAGAGAAGTAGTAAATCAAGTTTTATATATGTTGATAATTCATTGACCCTTTAGTTATGTCCTATCTTGTTTAATATAGACAATAAAACACCGATAATTCATTGACTTTAAGTGGTAATACATATATACTTGTGAGATATTGTACAAATAAAATTCTATCAATATATGTATGTCCGAACTTGAATGAATGTTTCTGTAGTGATCACGTTGAAGGCAAAAATTAAATGACTTTACATTGGAGACATATGAAATAAGTTGATTTTCGAAGGTTATACTCGTCGAGTAGTGTTAAACCAAGTGATTATATATATATATATATATATATATATATATACTACCTTAAAAGCATGAACTCCCAAACTTAAATGTTAAATTACTATAATACTCCCAATTAAAAATACTCAATTTTATTTATTTATTCATTTAATTAATTTTATTATATTAAGACTATATACCTTTTCACATTAAAGAGTTGTGACTTTTTCGAAAGGTTAAGACTTTTTTGAGGGGTCGTGACATTTCCGATAAGTTCCTACTTTTTTGACGGGTTGTGAATTTTTCAAATGGTTGTGTCTTTTCCAATGGGTTGTGCCTTTTCCGATGAGTTGTGACTTTTTCAAAGGGTTGTGACTTTTTCGATGAGTAGTGACTTTTTCGGAAGGTTGTGTCTTTTCTAATAAGGTACCTATTAATAATACTATTTCTTAGCTATAAATAGAGGGGTTTCCTCTCATTTTTAATCTGCGATTTTTAAGTTTTCTGCTCTTCTTCTTCTTAAAAAAATCGCAAATGTTATTTGCAACAGTTTATTAAGTTCAAAATTCAACGAAATTTGAGGTATCACATAAGAAAGAGTTGGTGAATATATTGTAGAAAATTATTCATCAATTCACACTCATATTTTCCTCTTACGATTTTCATCTCATACATACTTCAATATTGTTTGTATCCTTATTGAACATTAATACCCTTTTATTTATTAAAAAAGACTTCTTTTCTATGAATAGTGACAACAATTTCAACCTTTATGTTTCTTTGATCATAAATCACAACCATTCACTTCTTAAAAATTCTTTAGGATCTCTTTTCAGCAACAATTTGAGATCATTTAAAATTTTCATAAATGATTCAACTGCAATCCATTGATAAGGTTTGCCGAA